ATGAGCTACTGTTGCGTGTGGGAAATGGGTGATTGAACAGTAAGACTCAAGTGCTTTCTACTTCACCAGAAGTCTTCGACAGAATGCCCATAATTTCCGCAAAGCTGAGTGTGCGTGTGACAGGTGCTGACAAGGCTGAAAAAGTAGGTGTCTCTTCGATTTCTGAGATCGGCCCTCGTGGTCTCTTAGCAGCCCAGCTTTTGAGAAAGCAAGCGCCTTTTCGATTTCTGAGATCGGCCTTCGTGGTCTTTGAGCAGCCCAGCTTTTGAGAAAGCAGACGCCTCTTCGATTTCTGAGATCGACCTTCGTGGTCTCTGAGTAGCCCAGCTTTTGAGAAAGCAAACGCCTCTTTGATTTCTGAGCAGACGCCTCTTCGATTTCTGAAGCTCCGTCGAGTGCAAATTTTTATAGGGGCTGGCATTAAGTTCCAAAGCACACTTGAATCTCCACCAGTAGAAGCTCCATTCTTGCATTTCTAAGATCTTGATTTGTCCGACCTCTTCTCTTCAACACCTTTGAAAATGTCTGGCCCATCCGACCGTCGTTTTGACTTGAACCTTGTTGAAGAGGCAGCCCCGCCTTCTCCAGACAACATATGGCGCCCATCCTTCGTCTCCCCTACTGGTCCTCTTACCGTTGGGGATTCCGTGATGAATAATGATATGACCGCTGCGGTGGTGGCCAGGAACCTTCTCACTCCTAAAGATAACAGACTACTTTCCAAACGGTCTGATGAGTTAGCTGTTAAGGATTATCTGGCTCTCAGTGTTCAGTGTGCAGGTTCTGTGTCTAATATGGCCCAACGCCTATTTGCTCGAACCCGCCAAGTTGAATCATTGGCGGCTGAAGTGATGAGTCTCAAACAGGAGATTAGAGGGCTCAAGCATGAGAATAAACAGTTGCACCGGCTCGCACATGACTATGCTACAAACATGAAGAGGAAGCTTGACCAGATGAAGGAATCTGATGGTCAGGTTTTACTTGATCATCAGAGATTTATGGGTTTGTTCCAAAGACATTTATTGCCTTCGTCTTCTGGGGCTGTACCGCGTAATGAAGCTCTAAATGATCAACCTCTGATGCCTCCTCCTTCTAGGGTTCTGTCCAGTACTGAGGCTCCGAATGATCCCCCTATGGTGCCTTCTCTTTCTGGGGCTCTACCGACTGCTGAGACTTCTCCTAAGCCACCTTTGTGAAGGCTCCCTCTTGTTTGTTTATTTTGACTCATGTATATGTACATATTTGTAGATTATCGGGGATATCAATAAATAAGCTTTCCTTCATTTCAACGTATTGTGTTAAATACACCAAAGCCTTCTTCGCTAAGTTCTTTGAATTTTCTTTTGTTGAAGCTTTGTGAGTTGAGCATGTAGGTTGAGGTAGTGTTCCCTTAATTTCCTGAGTAAGGAAAACTTCTCGGTTCACTGAGTGGGATCGGCTATATGAATCTTAGAACGCCATTGTGCTCGGTCCTGTATCATGTCCTTCGTTAGATCCAAGTACTCTAAGTCTTTTCTTAGAGTCTCTTCTAAAGTTTTCCTAGGTCTTCCTCTACCCCTTCGGCCCTGAACCTCTGTCCCATAGTCGCATCTTCTAATCGGAGCGTCAGTAGGCCTTCTTTGCACATGTCCAAACCACCGTAACCGATTTTCTCTCATCTTTCCTTCAATTTCGGCTACTCCTACTTTACCCCGGATATCCTCATTCCTAATCTTATCCTTTCTCGCCCACACATCCAACGAAGCATCCTCATCTCCGCTACACCCATTTTGTGTACGTGTTGATGCTTCACCGCCCAACATTCTGTGCCATACAGCATCGCCGGCCTTATTGCCGTCCTATAAAATTTTCCCTTGAGCTTTAGTGGCATCCGGCGGTCACACAACACGCCGGATGCACTCTTCCACTTCATCCATCCAGCTTGTATTCTATGGTTGAGATCTCCATCTAATTCTCCGTTCTTTTGCAAGATAGATCCTAGGTAACGAAAACGGTCGCTCTTTGGTATTTCTTGATCTCCAATCCTCACCCCTAACTCGTTTTGGCCTCCATTTGCACTGAACTTGCACTCTATATATTCTGTCTTTGATCGGCTTAGGCGAAGACCTTTAGATTCCAACACTTCTCTCCAAAGGTTAAGCTTCGTATTTACCCCTTCCTGAGTTTCATCTATCAACACTATATCATCTGCGAAAAGCATACACCAAGGAATATCATCTTGAATATGTCATGTTAACTCATCCATTACCAACGCAAAAAGGTAAGGACTTAAGGATGAGCCTTGATGTAATCCTACAGTTATGGGAAAGCTTTCAGTTTGTCCTTCATGAGTTCTTACGGCAGTCTTTGCTCCTTCATACATATCCTTTATCGCTTGGATATATGCTACTCGTACTCCTTTATTCTCTAAAATCCTCCAAAGAATGTCTCTTGGGGCCCTATCATACGTTTTTTCCAAATCTATAAAGACCATGTGTAAATCCTTTTTCCCATCTCTATATCTTTCCATCAATCTTCGTAAGAGATAAATTGCCTCCATGGTTGAGCGCCCTGGCATGAACCCGAATTGGTTGTCCGAAACCCGTGTCTCTTGCCTCAATCTATGCTCAATGACTCTCTCCCAGAGCTTCATTGTATGACTCATTAGCTTAATACCCCTATAGTTCATGCAATTTTGTACGTCGCCCTTATTCTTGTAGATAGGCACCAAAGTGCTCGTTCGCCACTCATTTGGCATCTTCTTCGTTTTCAAAATCCTATTGAAAAGGTTAGTGAGCCATGTTATACCTGTCTCTCCCAAAACTTTCCACACTTCGATTGGTATATCGTCTGGGCCTATTGCTTTTCTATGCTTCATCTTCTTCAAAGCTACAACCACTTCTTCCTTCCGGATTCGACGATAAAAAGAGTAGTTTATGCACTCTTCTGAGTTACTCAACTCCCCTAAAGAAGCACTCCTTTCATGTCCTTCATTGAAAAGATTATAAAAATAACCTCTCCATCTGTCTTTAACCGCGTTCTCTGTAGCAAGAACCTTTCCATCCTCATCCTTGATGCACCTCACTTGGTTTAGGTCTCTTGTCTTCTTTTCCCTTGCTCTAGCTAGTTTATAGATATCCAACTTTCCTTCTTTGGTATCTAGTCGTTTATACATATTGTCGTAAGCCGCTAACTTAGCTTCTCTCACAGCTTTCTTCGCCTCTTGCTTCACTTTTCTATACCTTTCACCATTTTCATCAGTCCTATCCTTGTATAGGGCTTTACAACATTCCTTCTTAGCCTTCACCTTTGTTTGTACCTCCTCATTCCACCACCAAGATTCCTATAATTAACCTACTAATTAAATCAAGAATAAGTAAATAAGGAGATTAAGAACGTACCAAATGTGACATTCATTGAAAAATTGCAACGGAAAGTCAGGAATTACAAAGATAGGGATTTAATTGTGTATTTAAAGAACTTATTAATATTTTCTTGAGCAAGAAGCACAAAGGCTAAATTACATATGGTAAATGGCCTTTTTCTTTCAAGAATGGAATAAAGGGGGACCGGAGAAAGAACTAATTTATAATTTTTACTATGATTTACTACCTCTCCTCTACTAAATACACATTAAATAATAATATGTATTGAAATTGAGTAGGTTATAAGCATGAGTTTACAAAAGAATAGATCTATTCACAAACCCATTTTTATTTCTAACACAGCCTTATTAATATTTTGTTAGTGATCATTTTCAATTCATTCGATCTGAACAACCGAGAATTAAGAGAAGTGTATAAGAAGTAAAAACGAGTGCATGGATAACACTATCATTACAGAAAACCTCCCTGGACTTCAGTCCACCTTAGCCTTGTGGGTGGCTACGCCATTGGTTAGGGGGTGGTCGTGGTTGTGGATAGGAGGAAGGTTTGAGCAGAGAGGTCTGCAGCCATGGCGGAGAAGCAATGGCGTTGGTTGGAATTGTATGAATGGCTTGGGCTAAGAACTTGTTTTGGATTGCATTTTTTGACCAATGGTGTGGCCCATGAAAAACTATTTTATTTTTTATTTTTTTAATGAGAAATAAATAAAAAATTAAAGGGAAAAATTTAGTAACGCCTTGTAAACTTTTGACAATGTTCTATTTTTGCTATTTGAACTTTTAATTTGGTTTTGAGCACTTTTTTTAAACTTTAATTCGTGCCATTATCCTCGCAGCAGTAAATTACCACAAAATTTTTAATTAAATTTACAGAGCTTTCAATTCGTGCTGATACCCATGCTGCTGTTTATTTCTCGACTTCTTTCTTATAAACAGAGGTACACCTAAAGAGCATCGTGTTGAAAATGTAACGATCCATCCTCAACTTGGACTTGGTTATCAAGCTAAAAAAGAAGTTATGATTATATAAAGTCATCACCGGCATGAGAAATTTTTCATTGTGTTGGGAATAGAGGTGACAAATCAATTTATTGGTTATTAATGAGTACATTAAGACCCGTTTAATTTGATATCAATATAATATCGAGATGAGATTGGTAGTGGTGATAAAGGTATAAGGTGAAAACAAACTCAATGAGTCTTCATGGGTACGCATTAACAACCCAATGGGTTGATATGCCACCTTTAGCTTGAAACATGGTCCGGTACAATAAGTGTCATAATACAATTGGCTGGAAACTTGAAAAAAATTGTATTATGGCACTTGGTTTGGACTTCACCCATGTCGGAAAAACACTTAAATTTTGGTTAAAATTGACAGATTTCTTCTATATTTCTGATATATCAGTTAAACATTGGAGAAACTTTCATATTTCGTTTAAATCAGTGTTTGACAACCCCAATGTTTCATTCTAAATTTTCACATTTTTGAGTAAATTTTCATCATTTCGATCGAAAATAACTAATATGAAGACATGTTTGTACTTTGTTTAGGATGAAGTATAATTAGTTAATTTCATGTCACATTGATTTTTCAATGGGGTGAAATCCTCATAGTCTCTCCGGACCCAGAAAGAATGGATAACCGTGATTAGCCACCAGTTATCCATTTAAAAAAAAAAATACAAAAGCGTAACAAGAGTCAAAAAGTGACTGACATCAATTTCTAACAATTTGAGGCTCAAACTTCTGAAAGAGAAACGCACCAAAACTGGTTTGGAAATTTATTGAGTGCTGATACTTGAGAGAGAGAGGCTTCAGAAGAACTTATGAACTTGCGAATCAAAAACCAGAGAGGTGATGACTTCATATCCTTTCTCTGAAGGATGGTAGCTGTCCCAGAATATGTATTTCGACGAATCATTGCAAGTTCCCGGAGAGTAACGTGTACACAGAATGCTAACCTCAACGTTTCCTGTCCCACAACATCCTCGATTGATCACTTCAAATCCTGAAACCATATATAAAATCATTATACCAACCTTATGATCAATATGCATTGTGGAATTTTTTTTTTCCGAGACTATGACGATGACTTAAAAAACATGAATTTAGACTATTGATCTTGTTGATTCATGTTCAGAATGTTTAGTTTTAGATTCACAGTACGACAACATAAATCTTTACATGATATGCGAACATTGTTGGAAACGCATTTTTGCGAATTACTGTTTCCGAAATTAACCAAGGTGGTGATTTACCATATTGAGTAGGGTTTTGGATGAGGGAAAGCAATGTGTTATAGATATCGAGGTAGACAAGCCTTGCTTCTGGCAGCCTCCTATTGAAGGCATCTATTTGGGCGGAGAGCTTGGAGTTGAAGAGACTTGCTGCTTGGTTGGCAGTCTCCGAGCACCCTCTGTCTATGCCTCCACTCAGTGTTCTCTGTGACGGTACACACCCGATGGCTGGCAGACTTACAACTCCAATTCTTCTTGCTCCGAGTCCATATAGTTCCTGTAGTTCCATTTTTCCCCACATTAAAAAAATAGCAAAGTACGACGTTGTGTGTCACGCTTTAACCATCTCTGCTACTACTCAGAGCAGCTTCTTCATACAATCCCAATTACTTGGCACCCAAGATTCAAGAATGAAAAAGATACGCATGTGTGAGCTCATCTATGGAACTTGGGGTACCGAAATATGCGGCATATTGACAATTGTTACTCTTCTGAGGTGGCTAGTTCTGATGCAAGTTTTGTATTTTTGTTTGAGCAATATTCTAGTCTAATCTACACTACGGGGAGGGGGATTCAAACTTGGGTGCAAAAGGGAGAAGCAATGTTTAACTAGGTATGAAATTCTGATGGATCTCAAGCTTATGTGCATCTCAGGATGCAGGGCATTGCAAATTTAGTACTTTATGGCTACATAAGTGGTAATGCACGACTACCAAACTATATATTTTTCTAGTGCTGACATTCACGAATTGCAATTGTTCGATGTTTACCTGAAAGAAACTTGAAGCCGATTTAACCATGAGATCGGTATACGCTGGAATGTCATAGTGAGATCTTCTTAGTGGTGTAGATAAATAAGTATTCGCAATGTCGTTACTCCCTGTGCACACAATGTATATGCTTTTTGATACTATAGTCGTTGTTCTCTCCTTCCCAACGGCTGCATTTATCTTGCTTATGTATTTTTTGAACAAATCCAGTTGATCTGATAGAGTAAGACAGACTGATAGAAACAAAATTAAGAGAAAGAAAGGATGAAATAGTAAATAGAAAAAAGGGGGTTATATTTATTTACCACTATTTTGGGAGTGAGGGGATCATATCCTGAGCCACCTGAGGCAAAACTTACACCAGTAAGTAGGTCTTGAATCTTCAGATTTGAGTCCAAATAAGCTGGCAAAATCTTCTTCACTCCAACTGATTCAGCTGAAATATTTGTAAAGGGTTAATCATTTTCACAGTTTTGTTGAGCTAGTACTTGGATCTAACTGAAGACTTGGAGCAAAACCGTGCGCAATGGCGTTTTATGATTCATACAGCCGACCCCATTCAGTGGGATACAGCTGGTTGTTGTTGTTGTTGTTGGTTGAGCCAGTAGAGCTAGTAAAAAGAATAGAGCTAGTAAAAAGTAAGAAACAACAGCGACAATAGTTATATTACCTATCCAGTCTGAGGGGACTCTGCCATTGCTAAACCTTCCAGTAGGCCTTTTTCCTACAAAGTCCCTCCCATAAGGTGGGAAATTGCATTTGACTATCGTGCCAATATTGTTGTTGTTTCCCGGATCCACTATTGAATCTCCAAAAACAATCACTGCAGGAATCTTTTCGTTGTTTGGTAGCTCTACAGCAGCAACATTGCGGTACAAGAACAAGACTATGGTGATCATTATAAGTTTGAGAGAAGATTTAGACGATGAAGGAAGAAGTTTTGGGGAGAGGAAGTTCATTGCCTTGGTGGGTGAAAATATACACTGCATATTTACGTTTTCATAGGCGTTTTTAAGCATTTGTGTAAGTATGTGGCTACCGCAATAATTGGCTCAAAAGATGTACATTTTAGCTTTTAGTAGTTGTTAGTTAGGGTTCGGTTTAATTCGAGGGGACGTATTAATTGGGTGAGCTAGAAATCTACTTCTTTCAACTGTTATCTCATATGCAACAGATGCAAAATTTCCTCATGACACGGCATTGCAAACTAAGAGTTTGATAATTCAAAAGAGAAATTCCGTGAAATATTACTTGACTAATAGCTATAAACTTCTTTCATGTTGCAAACGCGTCTTCTATATAATTCGCATTTTCAAAGTCAAGGCTTCATATGGCCCAACAAGAAAGAAATAAGGCCTTCCCTAGCCGAAGGCTGGCCAGAGGGCTGATTTTAGCCATTTGGCCCTTCAAAAAATTAATATTTTAATGAACCGTGTAAGATCATATTTCTTACCATCTCTAACCGAGGGCCAAACATAATTTTTATTTGTTTAATGTTATTTAATGTTGTTTAATATTGTTTAATATTCTTTAATGTTGTTTCATGTTACCTAATGTTATGTAATGTTTAATGGTTTAGGAAGTTGTAGGGAAAAAAAAGAATTTTTACAATTTTTAAAACAAATTTTGTAAAAAAAAAAAAAAAAAAAAAAAAAAACTGTGAAAAAAAAACCGGCTAGATGATGTCAGCTAGTTACAGTTGGTTTTCAAATTCTGGCCTGGCCCTGAGTCGGCCGGTTGGCCCTTTGGTCATTTTTTGTCCAGTGGGGCCCACAAACCCTTTGGCCTGGCCCTCGATTGGAGATGATTTTTGGGTTATTTTCGGCCCTATGACCTTTTAGACCCTTCAGTTGGAGATGACCTAAAACAGTCAAAGGTTCTTGCAGCTGCATAAATTCTATCTTATCAGAAGAAGAAAAAATGGTGCTGCTTATTTCCTACGTCGCTGGTTTGCAGTCAAATTTTCACACCATATTGTGATCAGAAATCATCTAACCTTCATTGTATATTATGTATATGGTTTGGCTAATTAGTGTTTAGTGATTAATCACTTTTTGAACGTATATATCCAATTGCTTTTTTACCATCAGCACATAGTACTGCTCCAATGTTTTGCATTCATCCATATTCAATACTCATGGATTTTTAGTTCAAGAACTAAAACTCAAGTTTGACTAAAGTTTAGGAATTAGTGATCCAATTTTGTCATGTAGTTATAAAGCAAATGTGTGATTTTTAACTTCAGTCTCTAAGCATCTATAAGTGGAACAAACTATGTGATTTTTAACTTCAGTCTCTAAGCATCTATAAGTGGAACAAACTATCCAAATATTGTTGATTGTACATATTGCATTGGTGTTTTGCAACTTGTTTTTCCTCTTTTATGATGTCTGTTTTTTTTTTTTTTTTTTTTTTTTCTAGCGTATTACTTTGGTGTTTTGCAACTTGTTTTGTAGGTCGACCTTCTAGATTTTTTTATAGAGGGTTTTAGGCTTTACGTCCCCTTCTTTTCTTGTATTTTTATTTGTTAGCTTAAGAGGGGTCAGATTTATGTCTCCTCTTTTTTCTTATATTTTTTATTTTTTTCCTTGTATTATGAGGGGTAATTTTATGTATCTTTGACTAAGTATAACCTTTTTTTTTTTTGAATTTAATAAACTTTCTCTCGTACAGTTGAAGTTTTCCAAATAAAAATTTGTAGTTGTACGTATAGCACAACCTAGAATAGCTCAACTCATTATACAACAAAGGAAAATACAAATATTGATATATAAACTGATCGTGTGACCAACTAACTCTTTAATTCGGATATTAACTTCAAACCCCTTCTTTAGATGATTAAAAGAAGAAAAAAAAAAAGAAAAAAGAGAGACACTACTCAAGTACGAAGTCCGCAATGTAAATGCTTGCAAACGCGGTGTTTTATGCACTGGTCGACAAGGGAGTTGCGCAATGCAAAGTTCAAGAAATTCGGCATCTGTATAAGAAAAAAGACAATGTTGGTGTTGGAGGAGTTGGAGTTGGACTAACCCTATAACCCCTTTTCTTGGGTTATTGAAATTAAACCTTACAAGAAAAATGGGGCCGAACAGAAAAGAAGCAAGTCACATGATCGCATCTAGCAAATAAACTAGAGCTCTACAGGGCCAGTGCAGATCAGGCAGATTTCGACTCCAGCTCCTCTACTGTCATGGAGTGTAAGCGATGGCAGGTTCTATTCCTCCCTTTGAGAAACCACTCAAATACCCCGTCTAAATTTGCATCGAAAACCCTGATCGTGGCTACTTGATTCGTGACCGCAACGAAAGCGTAGTCTATCATCTCGGCCAAACTACAAATGAAAGGGGTTGGTTGATTCATGTCAAAGAAGGAAATGGGGCAACAATAAAACTCGGATAATACATCCGCTCTCTCAACTTGTTGTAAGACGATTGAGCCCGAGTCTTTCCCAAAGATAAAGGTATTCAACCTATTGGAAATTTGAGTGTTTTTGGAGTGTATAGAATCCCAGGGTTGTTGGAGTACTAGGGGTTATGATAAGGTCGACTTGTGCTTAAATCTCGATTTATTCCCTGCGTCATGGTGTATGTTTAATTGGTCATGAAACATTACACCGTGGAACATAACTTTTGACCCTAAAAAGGGCATAAGAGTTCCTAAGCTGGATCATGAATTATGAAGACGTTATTTTTTATCAAGAAAAAGATAAAGTTTATGTTGCCCGCAGCTACGAAACATGTTATGGTTGATTATTGTCTGAATGTTAATGGTTGTATGGACGCCGATACTATGTTTGTTCTGGGGCTTGTCACAAGAAGAGTATGGTGGAATCGTTGGGGAAGCTTCTTTTAATTGTCGTTTTCTGCATAGCAGCAACCAGCGGAGAATTACATAACATCATATAACAGTTGATATAAAGTACCAAAACTTTAAAGGATCTTACAAAACTATTCCCATTCTGGTTTCTGTCACACTCTGAACGAACTAATTGTTTATGATATTGCGACATGCACACATGGTATTTTTGACGAACTGCTGTTAGCAATAGTTCAAGGTTTTACCTGAAGAAGCCATTACACAGATTGAAGCCTCTTGCTTTGATCTTCTACTCAATGGAAACCTTATGTTCTCTTCTAGTAATGGATCTAGATTTTATCTCAGAAAATGAAACAGACCTTCCTTGAGCAGGGACCAAGTATATATATAGACATCTACAGACATCTCATCATAACTACCTCCTCCCATTAAGGATGGCAGTTTGATAACTGCAAGCATTACGCTTGTCTTTCGATCATAGGGTGTTTCTCTACTTCATCACGTAATCCTTATCGTCCTACATTATAGGAGATTCAATTAACCAAGTCATTAACTCCTAACTGAACTCTAGTGTCTGATATGGATAATTAACCTTAATTATAATTAGTAAAATCCAAATAAGTTCCAACATTAAAGACTCTACGATGACGTCTCCATTTTTGGTTTCTATTTAACATTTGAATTTAGACTATGCAATGTCGTGTATGTTTCTGGTTCTGCTTTTACATTTGAATTCAGGCTCTATGCAGTGTATGTTTTTGGTTTTGTTTTTATATTGAGATCCAAGCTGTGCAATGAATGTCTGTTTTTGGTTCTGCTTTTACATTTGAATTCAGACTCTGCAATGCAGTTTCTATTTTCCTATGGATTTTGCCTTCCACCATTCCAAACACAAATTCAATTACAAAATTAAGTAGCAAAAATAACCTAAAATTCGAAGCACGAATTTTGCATATTTGATCCATCTATGGAGTCTTCTAAACCTCATCGATACTCAAGTTCCACTTTTGCGGCCCTAGCCTCAACAAACTTTCTTCTAGAAACTCTCTTCGACACAACAGTTGATATGTGACCACTCATTCCCAAACCACGCTGCACCATCCGCCCTACAGTCTCATTGAGGTCGTTGATGGTTCTGGAAAGAATTGTGTCAATCACGATGTCGTGGTCGCTGATTGATTGAGCAGTTGGGATCTAGTTCTACTCGCCGTCACCAATGAGCAATGACCTCTTCTTCTTCATCGGAGAGAAGATGAGAGACATAGGAAGAGAGAAGGACGGGAAAGAGTGAAGGGAGAGAAAGGGGAAACAAAGCTAAGATTGAAGGGAGTAGATAAACACAAGAGAGAGGACGAGGAGAGAAGGAAATCAATAAATTGAAGTGAGAGAATGATAGATTAGTTATTTTCTAACTAGTCTAAATCACGTGACATGTTTCATTGACTTATGTACAATTATTATAAAAATTTAATAATAATTTTTATATCCAAAAGAAAAATTAACTATTAATATAGGGAACTTTAACGAAAAGCACCCGGTACTGTTCACTTTAACGAAAAACCACATTTTTACACTAAAAAGTCAATCATGGTACTATTCACTTTACCCTTTATTTTGTTCTTATCATTAAAACTCAAAGTTTTCAAGCCATTTTCATTAGTTTTCCTATTAATATATGGCTAATTAGTAAATATTCTCGATCGACGTAATATGAAGGCCTTATGCGGATCAACTGATTTAGGGTTTCAATTCCTGTCGACTATACTGATTGCAACTCCATGAGCACCAAACAAAGGACAATTATTGACCATTCTATTAATTATGAAACATGGCAATCAACTCCACCATGTGGACACGATTAGGATGGTCCAAAGTTATAAGAGCTACATTATATGAAAGGTTAAAGACTCCATCTTAATTCCCACTGACAACAAACAATGACGATCATCTTAATTTTCCACTAAGTAACAACAAATAATGACAATTATAATTTATTCATTTAATATTAAAAATGCACCAACACGTTGCAGATTATGAGGGTGAATCTCTTTGGAACCTTAATTGGCTCACAAGACATGTTTTTCGAAATTGGATTTCTAATCCGTTTATTACGTACAAATATGAAGGCTATAAATCCATATTTCTTCTTTTTGTTCACACACCGTAAGATTGTATTAAGAATTTTGTGCACATTAATACAATCGAAAAGTACAA